CACACACAATTGAGTTGACGAACAACAATCAAAAGGAATGGTCATCCACATCATTCTCACCCTACAAAGTTTACAACTTTTTAGTATCTGACTTACCGTCAGTAGTAGATTGGCCATTATTTTTGCCCTATTGCTTGTTCTTTAGTTGTGAATAATCAGCCTTCTAGTGTTTAAGCTCGCTATAATGATAACAACCCTATCTATAATTTTTCACAAAGAACTTTTGCACTAAACCTAATACTCAATGGCAAACTCATTACTACTAAAGTGATGAAAGGACACTTTTGTTGCTATCTCTTTCAATAAACTTAAAGCTTGGAAATTATAACTTTGATTGTTTCTCATCTCTCAGTATTACAAAAGCCTCAAAACTCTCAAAGTGATAATTTTAAAACCTATGGATATCCTACCAAATGTATAATAAATCTATAGGAAATAAATGAAAGAAGATTGGTGCACTATTATAGATTCTATTGCTCAACTGAGTGTCAAGACATTCTTAAGAATATGGAAAAAGGAGATCAGATCAAAGGTTAATTTTGGGATAGCTAGCAAAAATACATTCAAACCATAGACTAATTCACCTATCTTGCCTGATATAAATCTTGAGAAAATACCCATCTTGCCATACATGGAAATGGCTATGGATATTATATCATTACTAAAGTTGGAAGAGGATGGAATTTCTTTAGCAGAGTTATTTGGTTATATATTTTATTTTTATTTATTAATTTCTCACTCAACTTTTATTCAGTAGATTTGGGTTGCTAAAAGTGGGAATGTTTTTCTGAGCTTCCAATTGAACCTTTATGAATATGAAACATCAATGACTTGTAAGAATGATATAGTTTAATTTCAAATAACTAAGTTGGACATCACTATCTTTAACCAAGGCATAGGGCCACTAAGACTATATCAAGATTAGTGAGAGCCCATTACTCTCATAGAGTCTAACAAAATGCAAGGTGCAGTTTGCCACCAAGCACAATACTACAAAAGAAAGGCACAAAAGTCACTTTTCTAATATCCCTTTCAAGCTATATCATATAAACTACCTACTAAAGTCTAAGTTAACCATAGTTAACTTCAACCCCTTCACTAATTGAATATGAAATGAAATGGTTTTTGGGCAAAGTGATCAACAAATCAACTATTAAAAAAGCCTAAGAAAATTTGTGAAAAAATTTTCATCATAAAGAAAGAATGACTCTCAGTTTAGGAATATAAACTTTCAAAACTCAACCAATTTCTTCCTATTAACAACTTCACATAAGTTCACCTCAACACAAATTTTCAAGACTTATAGTATGCTTAAGCTTTGAACATCATGCCCATATTTCCGATATCCAACATTGACATCCATAAAATACAAAATGAACATCCAAAGCTTAATCACGAAGACCACATATTTGGATATTCACATTGCAATTAACACTTTTCTTCAATCACCTTCAAGACCCAATGTTAAGCCAAAACACTAACAAGAAAAATGATATGGAAAATCAAGTTTTAAGGAAAATTCCTCATCACTTGAAATAACAATGCTACTTCCACTAACACAAATGTTAATGATGTTAATGCCTCAACTTCACACCTTCTCCATTCAACAATCTACTCTAAGTGTTAACAGATAAACTAATAAGCCATAGCAAATGAATGTTATAACCCTTTCAACATCTTAATGGGCAAACCCTCAAGGAAATAAGGTACCAACTTAAACTTAGTATATTATACATCATTATTAAGAATTCAGTCAAAGTTATTACAATGCTACTATGTGCAAGCAGACTAACTTCACTATCAACCACTTTGAGGTTGATCATTATTTGACCAAATAACTTTGTAAACACATTGCTCAATATCACATGGATATGATATAAAAATCACAATAAGTATCAATTGAGCAATATCACAAGCAAACTCACATTATTATTTTAAAAGTTTATGTGAGTATCAAATGCCAACTCTATTTGACAAAATGCAATATAAATGTTATATCCCACCAATAGAGATTTATAATACTAAACACCACCACCTTTTGTTCATAGTATAAATAAGCTCATGCCACTCTTTTTTTGACAAAACTGAAAATTAATCCAACACCAAGCTATTTAAGGAGCAATAGCAAGGTTCTTTAGAAAAAAATTAAGTATTGTAACCCAAGCTTTTCAATGGCAAGTGTAGATAAAATGATTTAGTGTTTCACCGCTATCCATCCCATAACTCACCACTTATAAAATTATTATTTCCAACATGCATTAAGGTAGGGACTCTTGATTGCATGATGTGAACATAAACAATAAATCATATTTTATTGCAAATCATCTCCTTCAAGAAGAGAAAATGATTTACATGTTTAATCCTTTGTCCCTAAAGACTCTCTTTTCAATCTCATTTTTTACCAAACCTCAAGCTTGCTTTTGCACTACTTTTAGTCCAATCCAAAAAAAGTTTATGATAGAGCACAACAATGATTACTTGAAACAATAGACTAATACCTACAATCTTGATTAATCCATTTATAATCATGCCTAAAAAGGATCTACTAGTGCGGTGCTAAATAGCTATGGACTAGCATATTTGCCGCTGATAGCAAACCCAAGGAAAGTTTACTTTTTCCCATAGTATACGGAATAACTCATATGACCACTAATGATAACCATTGATATGCTAACATTAATCTTGCCAACTCAAAGTGTAACCTTGAGTTGCAATGTGCCTCACTCATGAGCCTAAGCACAAACTTGTGTAAAATGGTACACTTTAAATACATTTTGCCTCTCAATCCATTCTATAAGCCCAAGTGCAAGCTCATACAACTTGGTATAAAAAGGTAATGAAAGTCCATACCCAAAAAAATGAATGCGAAGCCTTTGCACCCAAATGTATACTTATTTAGATTATCATTTTCATCTCTGCATATGCAACAAAACTAGTTGCCCAATCTCATTAGACAGTACTCACTGAGACTCATTCTCTAATACTAAATATATCGCATCTGTTTTTACCCTTTATCCTATAATGATTTACCATAGGATAACCACAAAGTGGAACCTAAACCCTCTATGTACCACATGTCACATGCCACATGTTATTTGCCACATGTCCAAGGATAGTATTGCAGAACTCAAGTTTCAAGGCCATTGAACGAAAGAACAGAGCTAAACTCTTAAGCATGGAGCCAAGGAGCGATGGCATTGGAGCATAGAATGACTCCCGAGTGTACAGCCCAAGGAGTGAAGGGACAAGAACACGGAGTGCCTTGAAATAGTCTTAAAGCATCCAGCATGCAAAACGGAGTTAAATAGAGTCTAGCATTATTTCAACATACCGGTGGTTTAATGTGAGGATATGGGTACTTTAATTAACATGATATGGAACTTAAGTTTAGACCCAAGCCAGAACAAAAACAAATATGCAAGCAAAAACTAAACTATACCTCATGTTAGTTGATCATGCCCAACCCATTACCCCAACTATACATTTGTCCCCCCCCCCCCCCCCCCCCCTCTCGAGGAACACACGTTTTGGGCTTTCACCTTTAACCTTCCTTAGTACTAAGAATTAGTCTATGGGACAAACTTAAAACTTACTAAACACGGAATGGTGCTAGATTGCGAATTTAAACACAGGACGAACACCATTGTGTTCAGGACAATCTCTACATTTCATAGATATGCCAAATTAGCAAATTTAGACACTTTCCATAAATAGCAATTGAGACCAAATGGGACTAACACAAAGTGCATGATAGCGAAGGTGTTTAGCAAACATAGTAAATTATTATTTTGTGAATATTGAGGGACCAAACTCAATATTGCAAGGGTTCCCAACACTAGCAAGTGCAAACCAACAAATGAGTTTCTATAACTAAGTCAAGTATGCTTGACTAATACCACTTAAGAATTCCGTCCTTATGCTTATTTAGTCAAGTGCACACGTGAAGATTAGTTTCTCAACTAGCTTAGGTGGAGACTAATAAAAGATCCAGCAATACTGACCTTCTACTGTCGTGGCAGTAAAAAAAGAATATTTGAAAGGACTAGCCGACAGATAACTTTCAATACCTGAAGTCATATTTGCAACACTTAAACACCCTTCTACCATTTATTGTTTGGTCTTTTTACCTATTTATCTTCTTTTTTGAAACTTGGAAATGATATTTTATATATATAAATCCAAGTGTATAGTTACGATGTTGTATGCTAATATTAGCATAATGGGATTTTGGTACCCATTCAATTGGTTTCAATCTGGACCACTCACTCTTGTATATAAACTATTATTTTGGGGATACTTGATACTCATGTTTTTACATTCTTTTTCCATATTCAATACACTTACATTGGTTAAGGTGAGAGGCAACTTTGATTGTCCCTAAAAAGTGCTAGGATTTGAGATTAAAGTCATAATCATACACTTAGATATCACAACTCCAAAATTTCTAGAAGTTTGTTGTTAAACTTGAGTATGAGGCAAATATGAATGGGAGCTGAAGTTCCCTTGCCATTGCCCTTGCAATATGAGTCTTGCCAATACCTGAAAGCCCATGTATCAGAATACCCTGCACGACTTAAAAACATTACACAGACACATGTTATTGTTGCTTACCTGAGGAATGAAACAAAATTTATCACAGTATACTAATAAACATAATTGACAAAATTATCTATAATATTGTTCAAAATTATAACACTTTGACACTAAGGAGATAAGTGCTTGTATAATTGAGGTATGTAGATTTTCATTATAATTTTCATAAGAGGAACAATGTTCACAATGACTATAATTGTTAGCATATATCAATATCTCTTTCAATTTTGATTTCTATTCATTTTTTCATGTCCACAAAAGTTCAATAGAACAATGCAGCATGCATGCTATAATCACAAAGCCATGAACACTGGGAGATTATAAAATATAATTTCAGCACCTCTGATTTGATTTGGAATGCAAAGGAAGATTTAGAATCCATCTGACTGTCCACGTGGACGACATCCATGAACAGGGCGATCGAGACGCTTTCTCGTCTCTGCCGCGAGGCCAGGGATTTGGCTCACGCCAGGAGGATCCACGAGCGGATCCTGGAGACCAGCTACTGGCCGAATCGATACCTCTCCAACATGATCGTTTACATGTATGGCAAATGTGGGAGCTTGGGCGATGCCGAGGCCGTCTACGCCGCGAATCCAGACCCCAATGTCTTCTCCTCCAACATCCTCTTGCAGGCATTCTCCGAGGCAGCGCAATTCGAGGCCTGCGCGGCCTTCTTCTTCCGCGGGATGCCACACAGGGACATTGTCTCGTGGAATTCGATCCTCCAGGCCTTCGCCCAGCAGGAGCTCATGGACGATTCGCGGAAGATTTTCGAGAGAATGCCGTACTGGAGCATCTTCTCCTTCACTACTATCGTCTCGGGATTCGCCCAGGTGGGATCCCTCGACCACGCGATGCGAGCGTTCCATTCCATCCCCGAGAAGAGCGCCGTGTCGTGGAACGCTGTGATAAATGGCTACTCACAGGTCGGCCAGCAACACACTGCCCGAGCTTTGTTCGATCAATCCCCGGCTAGAAACGATCTGACGTGGACTTTTTTGATAGCCGGATATGCCCAGAATGGGCATATGGAGCAGGCAGTAGTGATGTTTGCTTTGATGCCTTTGATAAATCTAATCTCTTGCAATATAATGCTTGTTGGTTTTGGTAGTAATGGTTTGTTAGCACAAGCTCTAGATCTCTTTTCTGGAATGCCTTCTATAGATTCTTATTCTTGGGGTTCTTTAATATCAGCATATGCCCGGAATGGGTATCTAGATGATGCGATAAACATGCTAGAGAGATTTTACACCGAAGATCCCAGTGCTTGGAACACACTTATAGGCGCGTACTCACAAAAGGAAGACTTAGTCTCGGCATCATTTGTCTTTAAGAATACTCCCCACAGAAATCTGTGCTCGTGGAATGCTATTGTACAAGCTTATGCCTCAAATGGGCATTTTGACACCGCGAACCATCTCTTTGAAAGAATGCCTGGAAGAAGCGCCGTGACTTACACCGACCTGTTACTACGTTTTGGCACCAATGGAAAGCTCGTCGAATCGAAGCGGTTGTTTGATGAGATGCCTCATCGAACTCCAGTCTCGTGGAATTGCATGCTCATGGCTTACGCTCAGAATGAATGCCTGGACAGGGCCAAGCAAACCTTCGACAAGGCAGCCCAGCACGACGTGGTTACCTGGTCGTCCATGGTGCAAACTTACGCTTACCACGGTAGGCTAGACGAGGCAGCCAATCTCTTCGAGGTAGCCCCCGAGACCAACACGGTAACTTGGTCGACCATGGTGGCGGCCTTTTCCTACAGTGGCTCCCAAGCAAAGAGAGGATTGGAGCTTTACCACAGAATGGAGCTCCAGGGGCTGGTTCCCGACGAGGTAACTCTGATGGCCGTGCTCGTCGCTTGTAGCAACTCGGGCACGATGAAACGAGTCGGGGATTACGTGATAAGCTTTGGCGAGCGCGGGATTTATCCCGGAGTGGAGCAATTCTGCTGCATTGCGGACGGTTTCGCGAAGATGGGATTGCTGGACAAGGCCGAGGATCTCATCGACGCGATGCCGTTTGAGCCATTCCCTGGTGCGTACACGAGCTTGATTAGCTCGTGCAAGATGCATGGGGAGCACGAGAGAGGAGCCCGCGCCATGGAAAAGTTGGCGAGCTTGGAAGCTTGTTCCTCATCGGGGCCGTACGTTTTGCTAGCGGACATCTTCAGAAGCAAAGAGTAGGAAAAATACAAACCAAAATGGAAACCGGGAAAGTTAAAAGGAGGCAACCGGGATCGAACCGGTGACCTATCGGACTGCAGCCGATTGCTCTACCACTGAGCTATACCTCCACATTAATTTTTCCACTCGTAAATTGGACCTATATTTCAATATGCAACGTTCTTCTTTTTCAACGGAAAGATGGTGACATGACAAGGTTTGTCAGAATTTTAAAATTATTAAATTTGAAATAAGATTCTATGTAAAGTTATATAACCGTTTAAAAGGAGGAAAAAAATAACCGTTAATGTATAAAAAAAGACTTCATTCTGTTTTAAAATACATTCTTGAGAAATTTATAGTTTTAATTCTTACAACCTTTCTTCCCATGGTTCAAGGGTTAGGAGCTGCAATCAGAAAAAATGTTTCAATCTTGTCCAAGGCTTTCTAGCAATTCAGATAATCTAGAATTGGAGCTGGGCCAAATATGGCCAATATCATGGATATAATTCTTCCAATTCTAGATCCATAATTCTTCTAATGGCTGCTTCGGTCTTGTTCCTCTCCACGACGCTGCTTCTGCTGCTAGCAAACTCCTTCCACATCCTTGAGGGCCGACTGATCAAGCCACCAGCGAAGCCGCGATTCAAGTCCCACGGCCCCTATAACGTCGCTCACCGCGGAGCCAATGGTGAGTTCCCCGAGTCCTCGATCGCCGCTTTCAAGCGGGCCATCGAAAATGGGGCCGATTTCATCGAGACCGACATTGGATCGACCAGGGATGGAGTGCTGATCTGCATGCACGACACCACCTTGGACGCTGTCACGGATGTCGCCCAGCATCCGGAGTTTGCACACAAGAAAGCTATGTACGTGGACGAGGGTGTTAACGTTACTGGGTTCTTCGCGGTGGATTTTACTCTTCAGGAGATCAAGACGTTGCGGCTTCGTCAGCGGTATGATTTCAGAGATCAATCGTACAATGGTAACTTTGCAATGTTCCTATGATCCAAATTTCATGACCAATCTTTCGTTAAAGGTCTGTTTGAAATTCCAACTTTCGAGGAGTATATCGCTGTAGCTCTGGAAGCTGATCGTGTCGTTGGAATAGATCCCGAGATTAAGAGCCCGTTTTTCATCAACAAGCACGTAAGTTTTCCTTCCTAGATTGTTTAAACTATAGAATTAGAAATCACTGACTGATCGATCAAACAATAAGGTGAAATGGCCGGGTGGAGAACTATTCGAGGACAGGTTTGTGAAAACTCTACTCAAGTATGGCTACAACGATCCATACAACTCGCAGAAATGGTTGAAGCAGCCAGTGTTCATCCAAACCTTTGCGCCAACCTCGATTCTCCACATTGCCAACAAAACCAAATCGCCAAAGATTTTCGCTCTTGGACCCGCGGACGCTCTCGCCCAAGACACAAAGCTGCCATACTCCCACTACTACACCGACGAGTTTCTGGATTTCATCGCCAACTACGTGACCGCTCTCTCCACCAAGAAGTTTTTGATCGTGCCGATGGATTCGAGCCACAAGAACTTACCCGCGACCGATTTTGTGGAGAGAGCTCACGTAAGAGATTTGCTCGTCCAGACAGCCACTTTCAGCAACGAGGCACAGTTCATGGCCAGGGATTTCGCGGCGGACCCCGAGCAAGAATTCGATTACTTCATAAGAAAAGTCCATGCTGATATCATACTCGCTGATCACCCGGCAACTCTATCGCACTACTTGAAATGAAAGTATTAAAAAAGAGTTTCTTTGAAAATCCTGGAAAAAAAGAAACATCTATACATCCCGGCACTGGCTCACTGCTCAAAAGCTTTTCTAGAGCTCGAAATCGTCGTCCTTGAGCGCCTCTTGAAGGGCTTCTTCCTCGTCTTCCTCCTCCTCGAGAGAGATGTAAGGATTGCGCTCCGCGGGTCTAAACTTGTACCCCGTGAAGATGTAGAAGGCGAGCGTGGCAGCCTCTCTCGCGCACGCTGCCATCCATCGGTACTTGAAATCACTCGCAGCCGTGAGCGCAAACACCACGATCCGAGTGAAGTAGATGTAGCTCACGACGAGGATGTAGAACTGCCTGAAGAGCGTGAGCTTGACGAGCGTCCTGGCGGCTTTGCCGTCGCTCCTCGACGCCTGCCGGAGGTGCTTGATCGACCAGACAATCGGGAAGAGCACGGCGCAGCAGCACACGATGTCCACCAGCAGGAGGAGCTGCTTCCAGGTGATCCAGTCCCTGGTCGACGGCCCCGTCTCGTCGATCACGATGGCGGCGATGTTGGCCAGCACCTGGAGCGGTATGACGATCATCAGCACCTTCTTCTCGTTCTCCTGGAGGAAAGGCTTGAGGATCGACCACCCCGTCCCGATGAGGATGATCACAGTGAACACCATCACCCCCCGCAGGAAGCTAAAGAGGTAGAAGACCACGTCCCAGCCGTGCGGGGTTCCAGTCTTCTTGGTAAACTCTAGATCCACTGCCTCGGCGAGGAGATTCACGGCCTTGAGCACCACCAGGACGAGCATGAGGACGTGAACCTTGTGGACGTTGGGCTTTTGCTTGTAGCAGACATATCCCCAGAGCCCGAGTACCACCATGTATCCCAGCGCGAAGATCGAGTAGAGAGCCGGGAGCTCGGTCTGTCCAAACGGCAAGAAGTTCTTCCTCCCATTCGCGTCGACGTTGTACATGGAAGTTCTCACCTTCATGGAGACCCGGATGTGGGGCTGGCAATTCGCGAAGAACAATCCATACTCGTTGGTGTCGGCCACGTCGAAGACGTTGGTGTAGTTGCTCTTGACTTGGTTGAGCAAGAACAAGACCCTCACTTGGCTCTGGCTGTTCTTGAGGACGCAGAAATCGCTGGCGTGACGCTCCGCATCGAGGAGCACCTGGACGAGATCCGCTTCCGTGGTGAGGAAGAAGCCCATCTGTGCCAGATCCGGCGGCGAAGTCTCCTTGCTGGATGTGGAATGCAGCGACAGATCCGACGCCGAAATCTCTACCCTACCTCGGCCGCCGAAGCCAAACCTCTCGAACACGATCAGTGGCCGCGAGTCTGCCTTGATCCCCACATTGCGGATCTCCGCCCTGCATCCCACGGCGAGCAGCAGCAGCAGCAGCAGCAGCGGGATGCTAAGACCTACTCTGGGGAAACGCATTCTCGCCATTCCCGCGCCTGGTCGTCGATCGAACAGAGCGCCCAGGAACCCTAGCTCCTGTTTCTCAAGAACCCTAAAAACAGGGCATCAAATAGAAAAAATAACTCTTTAAAGCGCTGGAATCATCTCGTTTTACTACCAAAGTTTTAACTCAGAGCTTTGATCGAAGAACTCAAGCCTGTTCTTTTCAAGAGCTTGCGAAGCATCTCCAAGAACTCCAAAACCTTGTCAAATTACAACACGCTCTCTCCTTGAGTTGCTTTTCTCATCTTCATAACTCACTTCTTCCGTTAAGAAATAGTGAACTGTGGCCTCTACCACCTCTCCAAACTTATCCCTGGAATCACCATCCCACGCCTTGGATTTCTCCACTAGACTTTCAGCCAGTTCCTTATCTAGACAATGAACTCTCACAAGTTTATCGAAAACGCAGTCTCCAACACCCATATTTTAACAGCATTTCCGAGAAGAGCTGCGTCACCTTTCATCCTCTTTCAATTCAAACAACTCGGCTGCTCTTCTCGTGATTTTGACTATCGCTATGCTGGCCTTATTTCTCAAATCTTCATGGAACTTGTCATCCCTTGTCAAGAGCAGCACACACAGACCATCCGCATATTCTAAGGGACGTGTTTCACGTCATAACTCTTTCAGGGTGACATCTTTGAAGATCTCCTTGTTTGCAAAGATCAGTGCAGCATCGTGACACCCTTGGCACTCGAGCTCCACACCAAATCTCGCTAGCTTTTTCAAGAAATCTCTCCTCTTCATAACTTTAGAGCTCTTGTCCCAAAACTCTTGGAGGTGAGGACGACTTTTCTCGAGTCCCCACTCCTTCGCCACCATAGCCAAACACTCCGGGCTTGTATTCTGTGGCGTGGCAGCCTTCAAAGCATGCCATGTCTCCTCTTCAAGCCCCAACAACGCAGCGAACTGATCACTGTCCTGTTGCTCATCAACCTTGTTTTGGAAGCCATTGGCTCGTAGATGGCTTGCAAAGCGGAAAATCATTTCATCCCATTCATAGTTATTTGTGACCATCGCTTCCAACAAAAGCTCAATCAAGTTTTTGTAGCATTCATATTTCTGTATCATGGCAACCATTGTTTCCAGGGCTTCCGTTCTCCTTTTGCCATAAACAACACCCCACACTTCGTCATGATCAGGAAGGCTTCTTCGCGAAAATCATGCCTCAGGCAAAGCTCCAGCAGAGGATGATCCTTATAAGAAGATTTCTCACGGGGGAGCCTTTCTACGATGAAGTGCATTAAGTCCTTCCTCGTTTGCTTTCGGCTCCGATTTGAGCTTTTCCTCGATCCAGTTCGCTACAACATCTATCTTGCACAGCATGTCTGCTCTCTGATCCTTTGGCCACACCATCAAAGAAGCGGTATAGTAGATGGTGACGCACCAGCCTCCATGATAGTATGTTTCATCTGGCTTATCGCATAATCTGCTGCACGTCTTATAACGCTCTCCAACTCAACTATCAAGTCGAAATCCTCGATTTCTTGATCGCCAATGATCAGTCTATCTACTTCATAGCGGACGAAGAAGTAACTCGCCCGAGCCTGCAGAGATCCAAAAAGTCCGTGCAACTCAACACAAGTGCTGCCACAACTCGGTCGTGTCCCTTGAGTCCGGCGGAACTTAGGCTTGTACCCCAGTATTTGTGTCCCAGTGGGATCAAAAGATATGGCTCCTTTTCAATGGCTGTCCATTCTTTGAGAAGCTTTTGGACAGTCCCAATGGCAGACACGGAAGCTTCAAATAATCCATCTGAAAAACCTTTTGGTTGCTCGACCTCACCAGATTAAACACGAGACAGAGCCTGTTCACAATCGCAGAAGAACGCACTCTGGAAATAGCCCGTGCTCGAGCTAGAAGCACCTGAGAAATCGAAAGCTAGCATCTTCTTTCCACGGCGAACTTCCAGCTTACCCTTCCGTGGGGAGCTGCAAGATCATCGTCCCAAACATGCCATCCTCCTTTTCAGTATCCCTGTGAAACTGCAAGTGGCCACCTTTCTCATGCAGCAGCAGCTTGTACAGTCTCACATCCGGCATCAAGGAATCGGTGTTGATTATCGCCACCGGAATGGCCAGGTTGGGCACCACCTTTGAGAAAAAGTCTGGGATTTGTGGGCAGCTCACCTTGGACGCTTCAACTTGCCATGCATGGCGTACACTGTTTCCATAGGGTGCTTGCGCTGCGACATGGCCTGGAGCTTGAGGAAACCATCCCTGGAGAGAGGGAGGGCGACATCTCCAGCGCCCTCCACTCGTAAGGAGGTAGGCATCTTGGCGTCGATCTTGCCTCCAGTGGCAAACTTTGCTCGGGGCAAACTAGAGGCTCTCATTTCCATTTTCTGGCCTCAGTCCTCTCCCCTCTCCCTTTTCTTTTAATTCTTCCATTCCATGGATCGAAAAGAGCCTGTGTTTGCCTTGATATATACAAATGCCTTGCTCGCTCCAAGGCACAGCGAGGCTGAGTTAAAAGAGATCTATAGAACTTTTTAGTGCAAGCTTCCGGGAGCTCCTGACAAAAAACACTGGCCAAAGCACTGGAAGAGCCTGCTGTGCTTGGTGGACAGGCTCCCATTTCCAGCCACCGAGGAGGATGATCCAGCAGCGGACATGGGCGTCTCCATCCTGGAAGTGGAATTGGAGCCTCCGGGGCTGGGGCTGGGACTGGGCGATAGATCCTTCCCTCCAAAGTTCTTGGAGACGATGATCTGCTTGGGAGGAGCCCTTTGTGGACCTGGTAGCGAGAAGAGGAATGCCGTCAGCATCCTCACCACCTGAGCAAAATTAGGCCTCACACTCGGATCTTCAGCCCAGCACGACTGTAGGATGAACACTAGCTCCTCGGGTAGCTTCTCGGACTCGGGATGGCTCGGCCTGACGTTCTAGGAAACCGCAAAAAAGCATTTTTTATGAGACGTTGACAAGCGAGCAGACTCTAGAAAAGAGAGAAAGGAAAGTGAAGAGAAAAGTATTGTAAGTACCTTGAAAGCCGCCGCATACGCGGCTTGAAGATTGGACATGCCTTCGAAAGGCATCCGGTTGGTCAGCAGCTCCCACAACACGATGGCAAAGCTGTAGACGTCCACCTTTTGATTATAATGCTTCTTTTCGCCGTTTCTTAGCGTCACCGTGCTGTAGAGCTGCGAGGGAGTAAAAGAGAAGGTTTTGTTTTAGCACAAAATGGAAGATTATGGATAAGAGCATATCTCACCTCTGGAGCCATCCAGCGATACGTCCCTGTCTCTGCAGTCATCATTTCTGTAACACTTTCTTCTCGGGCCAGTCCAAAGTCCGCAAGTTTTACAGACTTTTGATCCGCCGTAAGGAGCAAGTTATCTGGGAGTGGAGGAGAAGAGTCAGTCATTCTGCGAGCAAGCACGCAGTGAGAGAAACTTTACCCGGTTTTAAATCCCTGTGAATGATTCCATTCGCATGTAGACAGTCCATGACTTGGGCGATCTCCAGTGCAAACGTGATAGCTTGTTCCAGCTCCATCCGGTGTGGTCGCAAATTCACGAGATACTTCCGAAGAGAATTCCCACTGAGTAGCTCGGTTACCAAAACCATGGGCTCCTCACAGGCACCGATAAACTGTGAAGGATGGGAATCAAAACACAAGCTTCCAAAACCGGAGTTAATACCTTGACAAGATTTTTGTGCTGTACTTTCGAAAGCATGGCCACTTCTCTCACGAATCTCGACCTTGCTTTAGCAACGTCCTCTGGCGTATCACCCACCTGGATGATTTTCACTGCAACACTGAGATCTCGGTACCTGGAGAAAGGAGGAAAAAAATTCATAAATTGGTGTGTGTCACGACTCCTCCAAAAATTTCTACTCACTTTCCTTCGTACACCTTCCCGTGAGCACCCTCTCCGAGCTTGGAGCCAACCAGCAGCATCCTGGGATCGATGATCCATCTCTCATCCACATCTAGCTTGCAGGGAGCTCCTCCATCAAGCCTGTCCACTGAGATAGAGAGGTAGCTCTCGTCAATCTCTGGAAGCACACGGGATCCCTTTGCCAGCTCCTTCCGCGAGAAATACCTGTCATCCTCCGAAGCCATCAACGCAGCGCGCGGGCACCTGTGCAAGCGCTCACTCTCGCTCCAAATCCATAATCTACCACTGCTCGCTCGCTCGCCTCCTAGAGCCGCATTCTCCCGGCGATTGAAGGCGGCCGGCCCTTCCAAGTGAAGCCGCGCATGAATCTAAACATCCCGAGCTAGCTGCGCGATTCCTCCTCCCACTCAACGCCTTGCGCCCGCTGCTGCGTGGCTCCTCCTCGCCAAGAACCCTAGCTCCCAGCATCGGGTAATGAAACGTGGCTGCATCGCGGCCGTCCACGTGGACAGATGAGACCAAGTCCACTTTGGCAGGAGTGTGTAATTCGAATGATTTGATGTTTTTGGTGCACGTTGGTGATTCGAACTTGGCGCTCGAAAAGAAGAGAAAGAAGGCGAGAGAGATATAGAACCATGTAAAAGAACGCAGCAAATAAGATCCCAGCGGACCCACTGGGCATATAATTTTTTCTTTGCAAGGTACCATACCATACGAAATATATTCTAATCGCCCATCCTTCCATGGTTTATGTGTGCCCTAATTCCGGGATTGTTTTTTGTGATGTTCTAGAAAAAGGAGCCATTGAATTGTTGTTGGAGGGCCAATTCGTGGGTGACATTGGCCTTGTTCGCACGTCCAAATGCGTATGATATGTTTGACACAGAGAAAGGGCTTCCTTTTAGAAAACGAGGGTGTCTGCCATAGAGAAGCAAATAGATGCTTTAAACATTGTCAATTCTTTAATCGGTCAATTCATAAGCCCTAAGATAGAATGCCACATGCAACGTTAGCATTAAAGGAGGCATCATTTTAGAATATTCTCCGTTCCCTAAGCTTTGGGTTTTGGGTTTTTCGGTGCCCTAGATGGGGTACTTGCTGAGGGCGCTGTCCAAAGCGGGCGGCGCGACGAGGTAAGCGTCTCCTCCACCGTGATTTTGGGATCGACCCATTGCATTTCTTCCACAGATCTCAGTGCCGCAGCTTCTTGGTCTCGTCGCATCACAATGAGTCCAAGATCATGGTGCTTCTCCTCCCGGCCAGCGCCAGGGGCATCTCCTCCAGCGCCGCCACCGCTCTCGCCAGCTCCAAGTCGGGTACATTCTCCGAGGGGAAGTTCTCCGCCGAGGCCGCGTCCGAGGAGGAGGAGGAGGATTTGGATCCGGATTCCACCCGGCTCCACAGGACCGAGGTCGTGCCTTACAACTTGCTGTGCAACACGCTCATCGCGAATCCTTACCGGTCGCCCAAGGCTGTGGTGGCGGAGTGGCAGGAACAGACCAAGACCAAGTTCACGAGAGAGATGCTCTTCAAGCTCTTCCGGAAGCTCTGGGGCCGCCAACGCCATGACCAAGTCTACAAGGTACGCAAAGACTTTGGCTTGAAGAACTGCTCGTAAAAATCGATTTTTTCTTCTTCTTCTCCCAGATAATGCGCTGGGTGCTCGTTGACAAGCCCCTCCCCGTCTCGTCCAAGATCTACGAGCTCTCCATGAAAGCGGCACAGAAAGCCAACAAGCTCCAGGTCGTGAAGAGGATCTTCGACGACATGCCACCCGAGGCCAAGACTCCCGCGGTCTACACGCGGATCATGTCCGCCTACTGCAACAAGAACCGAGCAAACAAAGCGGAATTCATCCTCGACTCCTTCACTCCCACCACCGCCCAAGCTCATAACCAGCTCATGCTCATGTACATCCGGATGGAGGAGGACGAAAAGGCTGTGGACGCTTACAACCGGATGAGAAAGGCGGGGATCAAGCCCAGCGACCTCACCTTCTGGACGCTCGCAAAGTACAGTCGCAGGCTGGGGATCGAGATCGACAAGAAGGAGGCCGAGACGATCCTGGACGACACCTTGAGCAGTCTCGACACGAAAAAGGATGGACTCAACGCCGCCACCAATGCCATGCTCGCCTACGCTTACATGGGCGATTTCAGTGGCGTGAAGAAGGCCTGGGCCTTGATCGAGAGCCACGACCACATCCCAACGTACGCCTTCGCAGCCGGAGTGGAAGCTTTCGGACAGGTCGGGAAGATGGAAACGGTCTATCACTTTACGGAGCGTGTCGAGTCGTGGAAGAAGCCGGATCTCATGACTTTCTATCCATCGCTGGTCCGAGCCTACGTGACGAACGGGAGGATGGATCGAGCAGTGGGGCTTGTCAATCATCTCAAGAACAAGGAGGGCGAGCGGAAGATCCCGTTTGGCTGCTACGACGAGCTGATTGCCGGGCACATTGCGCTCAAGGAGCGCGATCTGGCCATGGAAAAGACCAAGGAAGCGCTCGAGGTGTGCTGCCCGAGGACGAGGCCGAGCTACTTGACGCTCAAGAAGATGCTGCCGGTTTACAAGAAGGCCAAGGACGTGGAGGCGGCGGAGGCCTTGTTCGCGAGGTACAAAGGGTGGCGAGACGCGCGGGTGTTCAATCAGCTGCTCGAGGTTTACATCGCGGCAGAGAGGCCGGCGCCATTGCAGTTTGAGTTCAGGATGATGAAATCAAAGGTGGCGGACAACGAAGAGACTACCGCGCTTTTGGCTAAGTCCCGAGAATTTGCCAAGGCGAAGGCTTGATCTTCCTATGGGTTTGTGTAACTATCACTTGATAGCCACCTTTCTCCCCTTGCAGTGTTTCCTTTTTATAAAGACGGTCCGTTAGGGTTCTTCGTGTCGTATCTAGAATGTAGGGCTTTTGAAGGTATGCTTAGCATTCCCGACACGATCGCCTCGCTCAAAGCTTGCGGCGGCGCCAGCGACCTCCAGTCCGCCAGGAAGATCCACGCCACTGCGGCGCACCAAGGCAATGCTCTCAACGTTTTCGTGGCCAACGCCATCGTTTCCACTTACGCCAGGTGTGGCGGCATTGAAGACGCCCGCCGTTTCTTCTTCCAGGGAATGCTGGCCGCCGGAGCTCTGGACAGTGTCTCGTGGAATTCGCTCGTCGCGGGGTATGCGCACGCTGGGAAGGGGGAGGTCGGGCTCCAGGTATTCTCGGCAATGCAAGATCTCGGCTTCGTTCCAAATCCCCGGACTCTCGTGGCCGTGCTCAAGTGCTGTGCGGACTGCGCGGACAAGGAGAAAGATCACGAGAGAGACTCTAGAAGATCGAGCTCGAAGAAACATGGAGAATCCACGATGGTCGATTCTTTGGAGATTGCCAGAAGCGTGGAAGCTTTGGCCGTGAAGCTGGGATTTGAGTCGGATATCTACGTCGCGAACACGCTCATCGATACTTTCGTCAAGTCCGGGAGCTTGGACGATGCTCGGCGGGTGTTTGAGAGGATGAAACACCGCAGCGTCGTCTCCTGGACAAGCTTGATGATGGGATACGCACAGATTGGACGAGGAGAGGTCGCGCTGGAGCTCCTTCTTCGGATGGATTCCAGTGGCTGCAAGCCAAACGCGAGAACTTACGTCGCCACCTTGAAAGCTTGCACCAACATGGCCACCAGGGAAGAACCAAAGATGAAAAGTTTGGAGACGGGGATGGCTCTTCACTCCCGGCTGGCGAGATCTGGCTATGACGCAGAGATTTTCGTGGCGAGCACGCTGGTGGATTTCTACGCAAAGTGTGGGAGCATCCAAGACGCGGAGCGGGCGTTTTGGAGAGCGCAGTGCCGCGACCTGGTGCTGTGGAACGCGATGGTGATGGCTTGCGCGCTGTGTGGACGAGGAGACCTTGCCTTGGAGTTCTTCCGGAGCATGCAAGAGGTAGAAAAATTCACTCCAAACGCGAGAAGTTTTGTCTCCGCCTTGACGGCTTGTTGTGACTGTGCAGCCAAGGAAGCTGGTCAGCGTCTCGCTTCCTCGAGCTCGATGAAGGGTGGACGGCTTTTCAAGCTCAAGTCTCTGGAGAGAGGCATGGCTCTTCACTCGGAGCTTGCAAATGGTGGCTACGAGATGGATGTTTTCGTGGCCAACACTCTGGTCGACTTCTACGCCAAGTGTGGAACCATGGACGACGCGCAGCGGGTCTTCAACCGGCTAGAGAAGAGGTGGAGCGTCGTGTCATGGACAGCTCTCATCCTTGGCTACGCTCAGAATGGAGATGGCGAAATTGCGCTCGAGCTTTTCCAGTTCTTCACGAGATTGGATCAGTGCCAGCCAAATTCAAGAACCGTGGTGGCTGCTCTAAAGGCCTGTGCGGAGCTCTCGGCGAAAGAACAGGGCCAGGTGATTCAAGGCAAGGTTGTCAAGCTAGAGTCCATGGAGAAGGGATTTTCTCTCCACGCCGAGGCAGAAAGGATGGGGTGTGGCTCGGAGCTTTTCGTGCAGAACAGCCTTGTGGATATGTACTGCAAGTGTGGAAGCATGGAAGACGCTAGCCGGGTGTTTTGGAGGATGAGAAGGCGTGACTTGGTCTCGTGGAACGCTCTCATCCTGGGATACGCACAGAACAGCAGCAGCGAGCGAGCATTGGAACTCTTCGACCTCATGCAAGTGAAAGATGGCTTGAGACCTGATGGAGCAACTTTCATCGCTGCCTTGAAAGCCTGCGCAAACTTTCCAGCGAGAGATCAAGCTCTTGGCCTGGAGAGGGGCGTGGCAATCCACACTCAGATGTCAGAGCTTGGCTGCGAGTGCCAGATTTTGGTGGCAAACACGCTGGTGGACATGTATGCCAAGTGCGGGAGCTTGTCCAGCGCGAGGAGAGTTTTTGAGAAGATGGAGAACCGTGACTTGGTTTCGTGGAACGCGATGATATCAGGCTATGCTCAGGCCGGAGAGGCGGAGCTGGCGCTCGAGCTCTTTCGGCGGATGCTGGAGAACGGGTCTTTCGTTCCGGATGGAGTGACTTTCATGGCGGCTTTGAAAGCTTGCGGGATCCTGGGAGCTCTCAAGACAGGGAAAGAGATCCACGCGGAGATCCGTGGTGGTGATCACTTGGAGGAGCACAAGCAGCAGCTCGCGTCCTGTTTGATCGATTTCTACGGAAAGTGTGGAAGCATGGTCGATGCAATGGAGGTTTTCCAAGCTATGGAGACGAGGAACTCGGTGGCGTGGAACACAGTCATGGCAGGATTTGCAAAGCAAGGCAATACTGCTCGAGTACTGGAGCTCTTCGAGAAGATGGTGGAAGAAAGAATCCGGCCCAGCGGCGTAACTTTCCTGTTGATCCTCACGGCTTTCAGCCATGCCGGCCTTGTAGACAAGGCGAGGGAGTTCTTCGAGCTCATGAAAAAGTTTGGAATCTCGCCGGGCCTGGATCACTACACTTGCATGGTGGATCTCTTGGGACGAGCAAACCGCCTGGACGATGCCTTGGAAACCATAGAAAGCATGCCTGTGGAGGCCGACAAGACGATTTGGCTCGCGCTCTTGGCTGCCTGCCAGAAGTGGAGGAATGTGAGAATTGGAAGGGTGGCGTTTGAGGCCGTGATGAGATTGGATGGCCGGGAGGGAGCAGCCTATGTGTTCTTGGCCAACACTTACGCAGCTTCCAGCTTTCCAGACGATGGAAGAAGAAAGAACACGCTGCTGGAGAACAGATCTTGAGGGAACACCGTCATACAAAGTTTGATCTTTTGGAATAGCCTGGGAGTGTGAACTTTAGATATAGATCTTCTCCACTGCTCGCCCGCATTCATGGCGAGTGATGCGATCGAGGATCTCGCTCTCGTCGCGCGATCCTCGCCACGATGCCTTCCATTCTTTTGTAGAGGCCCTCCAGGCCTGCTCCACCTCCAAGAACGTGGAGGAGCTAGAAAGGGTCCGGGAATCCATTCGCCGCAGCGAATTTCGCGACAACACGCTGCTGGGGAACCAGATCCTGAGGGCGTATAGCAAGTGCGGGCGATTGAAAGATGCGCGCTGTGTGTTTGAATCGCTCCCAGCTCGGGCATCACCACCTTGCAAAGCATCTGTTTGATTCCATGCCGGAGCGGGACCGGCTTTCCTGGTACGCGCTCCTGGCCATGTCCAACACAGGTAACATAAATCGAGCTCAGGAGATCTTCTCAAAGTTTCTTTTTCGGCAGATTCCCGAGAAGGACGTGATCTCGTGGAACGCGATGATCACGGGCTATGCAAACTCCGGCTTCACGCATGAGGCAGCCAGGGCTTTTCACTCGATGGAGCGAAGAGATTCGACGTCGTGGAGCGCTCTAATCTCTGCGCTGGCACAGAATGGCGAGCTCGACGATGGAGATATCGCCTTCCATCGCATGCCGCAGTGGAATCTCGCGGCATGGAACAACCTTCTCTCCGCGCGAGCCGAGCAGGGAAAGATTGTCGAGGGGGAGCGGATGTTCTCTCGAGCTCCAGCTGCGAATCTTCTCTCGTGGACGGCGATGGTGGCGGGATTCGGACACAATGGTCGAGTGGAAATGGCTCGAACAGCGTTTGAGAGGATGCCCGAGTGGGATATCGTGTCATGGAATGCGGTGGTCTCGGCGTTCGTCCAGTGTGGCTGTCTCGAAGAAGCTATCGAGACGTTTTGGAGGATGCCCGCGCGAGATCTCAAGTCGTGGAACACGATGATCCGAATTCTCTGTGAAGCAGGAGACCTCGTCCAGGCCGAGAGGATCTTCGATGGAATGGCGCTGCGAAACGTTGTGTCCTGGACGACGCTACTCACGGGACAAGCTCAGAGAGGCCACACGAAGGAAGCGCGAGAGAGATTCGCGAGAATGCCGCAGCACAGCTTTGTCACCTGGAACTCCATGCTCGTCAATTACTCGAGCTCCAACCAGATCGATCTCGCCGAAGAGGTGTTTTGCTCGATGCCAAAGCACGACACCGTCTCGTGGAACACCATGATCGCGGGATACTCGAGCAGCGACCGCATGGATCGAACTCTGTCTTTGCTCGATCTCATCCCACACCAGAGTTCTCGATCGTGGAACACCGTGCTCAATGGATACGTCACAAACGCCCATATCCGAGAGGCTGGAATATGGTGAGCGTATATGCCCAGAATGGGTATCTTGAGGAAGCCAGAAAGATGTTTATAAACATGACCAAGTGTAACGTTTCAATGGATTCTCCCTCGAGCACGTCGAGAAAGCCTGTAACTCTTTGCTCGCAGCACTCGCCCACAACGGCCATGCAAAGCTTGCCACCACGTTCTTTCACGAGATGAACTTGGAAGGAGCAAAGGACGAAGTCTCGTTCGCGATTGTTCTCGCCGCTTGCACCTATTATATTTATAAATACCTATGGATTTATATATTTAAGATATATTCACTATAATAGATGATAGAATATACTATAATATTCAAGCATATCTAGGTATATTCAGGTACATTCACTCTTATATGCTTGGTTAGAAAATTATAAACTACAATAGTAATAATAATTCTAAAAATAAAGCTAATCTAATCAAATACCAAGTTCAGAAGAGGAACAATCTCATTACACTTTGTTTATTTCTTTGTAATTTTCCTCTTCTTTCTTGAATATTTCAGAGGGAAAATAAAAGAAATGTGTAATAGTTATATAAGAATAATCATAAATTAGAAAATAAAATGATTTTTCTGAACATTTAAATACAAATTCGTATTCATATATAAGTATGACAGTGTTTGGTTATACTCTTGATTATAAAAGCAATCAATTACTACCATAAAATTCTTAAATTGCAATATAATAAGTACAAAACTTTATTATACTTACATAATATTAAGTTATTAATCTTCTACATTTATAAAATATAATTTTAAGTTGATAAAAATATAATTTTTAATTTTTAATTTAATAATTTTTAAATACTTCTAATATCTTGACATACGTAAGGTATTAAAAATTCATTATAAATAATATTTAGAAACATATATATCTATCCTTAATAGTCACGCCAACCCATAGCAATAGTGCTTATGTTATCCTATTTAAATATTTTGTAAGTTTTTAAGGTTTTATAAATTATGATACTTAAAATTGTTTTAATATTTTTTCTTTGATATTTTATTAAATATTTGTGTTATTCAAGTGCTGCATTGAATCCTGTTACACACATGGTCAACAAGCAATAATTAATACTAATGAATATTGTGATGTTTCAAATAATATGTTAAATCAATGCCCATTGAGAATAAGGTACAGAGAATATTCTCCAAATCTGAAAGTTTCTTTAGTAATATCAAGAAGAACAACTCGTAATCTTAAAGCTACTAGAAATTATCTTATTGAAGCTTTTTCATATATATTACAAAAATTTATTGCATTACAAAAAATGGGAGGTTATGTTAAATTGAGAAATCAATTTCTTTTTTTATCAGTAGAAATAACATCAAAACCATAATTTGTTAGAAGCTCAAAACTATAATTTGTCATTGAAGTTTTATAAAGTTGATTGAAATAATTATTATTTATAGTCATGCTTATAACTTTAATCTAGTAATGAGTACTTAATTATAAATAAATTGAACTCCTGAAAGCTATAAATATTCCCTAAACCCGTCCATATTGCATATTGGTGGAGATGAAACATGGTGTGGAGCAGAGGAAATGGAATGGAGTGTGAAGAAGTGAAGAGAAAGGAATACATATATATACACCAATGCTTGATATTTTTATTTTTAAGCATGAGGCTTGAACAACGGCAACATGGTATCCCTCCCTGAGTAAAAGTCAACCAGTAAGTACACATGTATAGAAATATAATATCTTCATGTCTATAGTAGTGATGTTATTGATAAATGTTCCCAATTCTTCTTATACTCCACAACAAAAATTTTTACTGGCTGAAGTAGAACAAGAACGCTTTAATATAAAAAAAATCCTTGCTGATCATCCAGCTCAAGGGTAAATTCTTTACTACCTTATTCATAATGCATGCATCAAACTACCACACACCCATTTTCCGGCTCTCTGTAATTAATGCTGAGACATTGTCTAGTGTGTTATCCACATGACGAGATATTGCTGATTAACGCTAGAAAACAAAAAATTTGATTACAAATATTATTTATTAATTGTGTTTTATTTCCGTAAGTGCTTGGTCATATCTAAAATTTTCCCCTATGTGACAATTTCAAGTTTGAAACTATCATATAAAGTGTAAGAAATACCGAAAAAATTTGATACTCATACATGGACCCCAACGATGCTATTATCCATGAAAATATCATTCATTTTCTTCACCCCATTTAGGCCGGCGGTAACACGATCCTAGATCAAGAACACAGCTGTCTCGAAAACTACCTGTGAACGACTTTAAATGAAATGCAAAACTTCCGGCTCCAATCAGTGAAAAACCAGCTCAGTGAGGTATCTCCGGGCTCCTGGTGGTAGACAAGGATTTTCACTGCGTCGGTGTTCTGTCCAGGAAGGATAGAACCAAAGGCTCTAGAGGGGTATGTATCACGATAGATTTGACAAGGTTCTCTTCTAATCTCTTCTATTCCTTCCAGCTCAAGACGCCTATTCAGGAAGTGATGAGCTCGCCTGCCATCACCTTATCTGCTGACAAAACTGAGTTTCTTTCTCACAAAAAAAGTAGAAAAAGAAAAGAAAGAGGAGTTAAATCTAACACCATGCTCAAGAGCAAGATCCTATCGTTAACAACTCGGACCAAGTCATTGGTAATGTGTTTTCCCGTCTCGATCTCGCTGAGCTCGTCAATTTTCCAGGCATTGCCACGAGAACTGATATCTTCACAGCAATGGAGGGAGGATCTTAGCGATGGAACCCCAGAACGTACAAATCAAAAGTTTGTAAATAAAAAGTTCTGATTTTCTAAAATCAAAGTTCCAAGAATCTTCCGTTGCCGGGACTTGAACCCGGGTCTCTCGGGTGAGAGCCGAGTATCATGACCAACTAGACTACAACGGATTAGCTATCCTTTCATTGGAAAAGCATATTCACAGGGATATCGTTGTTAGGGTATTCCAACTCATTGTTTCTTCTTTTTTGATCGATTCACAGGACAAGCACGGCAAGAAGGTTTCCATGAGTAAATACAGAGACAAAGTTCTTTTGATCGTCAATGTCGCCACAATGTCGTGCGTGTCTCCTCTTTGTTTTCTCCCTTCCATTTCCAATTTCTTATTTGATCCATGCATGGCGTCTTCTTCGAGCATGTACAAGGAGCTCAACTAGCTCCACGTAAAATACATGGACGAAGGTCCGTTTGATCTTGTGTGTCTTTGCTCCAAGCTATAGCTGCGAATGCAGTCGCGATTCCCCAGGGCTAGAGATTCTGGCATTCCCGTGCAACCAATTCGCCGGGCAAGAGACACGGTCTCGACTCGATTTGGGCCACACTTCCCACTCTTTGAAAGGGTACAAAAGGAATTTGATAGAAATCTCTCACTTCCATGGTGATGTTTGATCCACAGGTGGATGTAAATGGCCCAAGCACCGCAGTTCCTCAAGGAATTTCACGTTTGATCAATCGAACTGGTGGAATTTCTGGGAGATATGCTCCCCACATACCACAATACAAATTGGAGGTTAGCTTTCATTCTCGCTATTTTAGTGAAGATATCAAGAGCCTGCTCCGGAAGAAAAGAAAAAGATTGCGGGAAGAACCCTAAAAGTTTTTGTGCTTTTTTACTAGGGGGAAATGGCGCACAGTGGCAGTGGGGTTTATAGGGTTCTTCAATTCTTGGGGGCATCAGGGAGGCGCCAGGTATGGCATGCAGTCAGGGGGGCCTCAATGGCTGCTACATCGACTCTTTCTACCAGCAGCAGCAGCAGCAGCATCGGGGTGTGGCATTTTCGCGGGCGGGATTTGGAGCTCGCTGTAAGCTAGCCCCTAGATTGCCCAAGAAAGTGCTGGCGGTGGATGTGCGCCAAAATGCGGCCACGGAGCAGCAGCAGCAGCGAGTGCCGCTCGAGTGTAGCCAGGACGTGATCGATGCCGAGGCGAGGCTGTTCGTCCATACTTATGATGGAGTTCCAGTGGCGTTTGTGAGGGGGCATGGATGCAAGCTCTACGACATCGATGGGAAGGAGTACTTGGACATGGCGGCCGGGATCGCTGTGAATTCCCTGGGGCATGGCGATCCGCTGTGGGTGAAAGCCGTCTTGGAGCAGGCTACCACGCTCGCGCATGTCAGCAATGTTTATCACTCCTTGCCTCAGGTATGAAATCTCTTCTCGATGTGTTTGCATGGAAAACTTCTTCTGTTCATGGTGGTTCCAGGTGAGACTCGCAGAGAGATTGGTCCAATCCTGCTTTGCAGATCGCGTCTTCTTCTCCAACTCTGGCACCGAGGCCAACGAGGCCGCAATCAAGTTTGCGAGAAAGTACCAGAGGGTGAAAGCCAAAGATATGAGTGACAAGCAGGCATCTCCTCCTCTGGTGGAAGAGCCCATCGCCACGGACTTCGTGGCCTTCTCCAATAGCTTCCACGGGAGAACTCTGGGAGCTCTGGCGCTGACGAGCAAGGACAAGTACCGGGCTCCGTTCGAGCCAATCATGCCCGGGGTCAAGTTTGTGGAGTTCGGCAACTTGGAAGCCGCCAAGAAGATCGTCCAGCAGCAGAGAACCGCGGCGGTGTTTGTAGAGCCTGTCCAGGGCGAAGGCGGTGTCTATCCAGCGATTGGCCATTTCCTCGAAGGCCTTCGAGCGCTGTGCTCCAGCACTGGAACCCTCCTAGTCTTTGACGAGGTAAGCTTCCACTCTCTCTTTTTGTTTCTTTCGTCAACTCCTCCAAAAACTTCCAGGTCCAGTGCGGTCTCGGCAGAACTGGAAAGCTATGGGCGCACGAAGCATACGGCATAGAGCCGGATATCATGACTCTGGCCAAGCCGCTTGCTGGGGGGTTGCCGATTGGAGCTGTCCTCGTGACTCAAGCAGTAGCGGACGCCATTGTTCCAGGCGATCACGGCAGCACTTTCGCCGGGAGTCCTCTGGTTTGCAGCGCGGCTCTGGCAGTTCTCGATTGTCTCCAAGAGCCCGGCTTTCTAGACAGCGTCGCAGGCAAAGGCAACCATTTGCGAGAGCTCCTGACGCGAAGGCTGGCACCGTTCGCGCACGTAAAGGAAGTCCGTGGTGCCGGGCTGCTGGTTGGGATTCAGCTGGACGTACCGGCGGCGCCGCTGGTGACGGCGGCTCGCAGCAAAGGGCTGATCGTTCTGACGGCGGGGGCCGGGGACGTGGTGAGGTTAGCGCCGCCGCTGGTCATCTCGGAGGCGGAGCTGGAGCAGTGCGTGGAAATCCTCGTGAGCTGCATTTCTTCTCTGGATTGATGAAGAGCCTTCGGAGAAAAACACAACTCGGCCACGGCTCTAGTTGGCCTCCCAAAATCCTTGACGAAGCGATCCGATACACGACACTCTTAGTCAAGAAGGGTTTAAGTTCCTCGTCTGGACTCCAACGATCCTTGATTTTGTTCTAATTCCAGCTTCTGGAATGTGGTACCACGTATAAAGTAGAAGCTCTCTCGCTTCTCCACACACACATCTTATCTACGCTCTACGCTCTTTGCAAATGGCTCCTCGTCTCCTCACATTTTTTATCTTGATGGTGGTGACTCTGGGAGTGATCGAAGTGAGTGGTCTCGATCCTTTTTCGCCGTGATAGAAAGTCGAGGCCTTGGAGATAAATCTCATGTTTTGATCTGAGATAGATATCTCACGCTCCATCTTCCATGCTAGCTAGATATCTCACTCAATATCTCGTTCTTCTTCCATGCTAGGGGCATGCTAGACAGATATCTCACTCAATATCTCGTTGTTCTTCCAGATATCTCACTCAATATCTATCAATATGCATCAAGATCTTACGTGAGCGTCTGTTTGTGCAGGCCCAGTGCGATTTCTGCATAACTTATGGCGGCAGCACCCTGATTGCAAACTGCGTGAACCAAGCCGGTGCCACGGTGCGCTCGCAGATTGATCTAAACACCTGCGTGGGCAACAACAACGGTCAGCTCGACTGCTCGAGCGGTTACTTCCAGTCGTGCGCGGTATCCAGTACTCGGGCACCACCGTCAGTGCGACGTGCACCAGCGTCTCCGGCCAGGGCATCTTCTCCACTCGCGACCTTAACAGTTGCGTCCGAAACAGCAATGGCAACCTCCAGTGTTGCTGAGAAATTCTCATATCTCATCAAATAAATGTGATGTAGGTTTAATCTAAGTTTTGGATCGGTGGCAATGAGCTTGGAATGATTTTTGCCAAAGAGCATGCGGAAACACTTTTCCACCTTATTTTTCGAATTTAGGTTTATTCAGTTAAGGTTTTGAAAGTTTAAAAACAAAATAAAATCTTATAATTTATATATATTCTGATACAAATTTCAAGAAGTTCTGTTGTGGAAGAAAAAAAACCATTGCTTTTGATTTATTTTCTTACCTTTAAAATATTATCTAGTGTGTTATTAGCAATTCATGTAAACTTTTCATCAATCTCTATCTTGTTTATTAGGTAGAAGTGATGAATCACATTAATGTTGAGGTATTAGTGATAAAATTTCACAAAAGCTTGTATAATTACTATAACTCAAAATTTTATATGGAAAATCAGCCAACAAGCCATCCTTGTGGCCAAAACTATAACACCTTAAGCAATTGCAGTAATGTGTAAGCCACCTACTAGGCAAGAAAGTGTGTGGTTCATATCACGACTTTTGCTGCTATGGAGAGTTTGGATTTGTAATGTAATTTTGTTTTACAATGTATTAAGCATAGAATAAATATTAACACAATAAATATAAATTTTAATAAATATTAAATATAATCAAATATTGATTCTTGATAATCCAATCAATATATTCTGTTGGTTCAAATGGAGTCTTGCCAACAAGATGTAGCAGTTGAAGGAAATCATTCTTCAACAATAGTCACACTATGAAAAGATAAGTGGAGATGAAATCCCCTTCATTGGCCTGTCTTCACAATTACAAGAACTTGCTAATGTCAAGTTTTGGAATTAATATTTAACAAGTGTTTTTCTGTGTGGTTTAATAGAGTCTTCAAAGTAGATAATTTGCTATTAGCTATTTTCCTAAGCTTACAATATGTAATTTGACCAAGAATACTTAACCACCAGATTTTTCAAGTAAAAGTGTTTTAACAACTTTAACAGATTTTTAATTATGAGTTGTCTTCTTTTTCATTTTTAATGATAGATCAATAAAAAACATAGGTTATATATGTTTTATACAAAAATTGGTATTAGCATATTTTATATTCAATATATATCAAATATTTATATTTTTGTATTGATTATATATATACCTTTGAGTGAATTTTTAAAGAAACTATATACGATATTGCGATACTATATATAAACTTCTGAAAAAATCTAAATATGTGCATACTATATACATTATAAAAAAAATGTAAACTAATATTAAATTTTAATAATATATCATTCAAGATATCTCAATAATAATAGAAAATATAGATTACAATTATGATTACAAAGAATCAAAAGGATTAAAAGTACCATATATTAGTATATTGAACAGAGAAAAACATACTTTTATTTATATATAAAAAATATGAAAAAATTATGCAAAAATTTACAAAATTTATAAATGTGAATTCTAGAAATATATAATTAATTTAAATGTGTTTGATGTGAGTGACAATGGCCATTATAGCCAGCAAGAACATAACAAGAGCAAACCAAGAAGCATTTAAAAAGATATTAATACTTATGCTGGTGATGGATGATGTCGTTGGAGGTGAAAGCCAAACAACATCAGTTCCCAAGTTATAGTCAAAGGGTAATGCAACATTAAAGTTATAATCGACGACAGGCCTCGGTTGCTTGGTTCTTGATGAAGGAGGTGTCACTCAACCTTCATTCTAAGGAAGCATAATGCTGGTATAAGGTCACAATAGCTTAAGGAACAGGGCCATATAAGTGGATGCTCCAATAGCTGGTGAGGTATGTATTACTGCTTGTAGACAATATCAACTGACCATGCAAAGACCATTCTTTCTGGGAAAGATTCTTTTATATAAGTTTAATGACAATGAGCGATAGATTTTTGTTATTTTCATTCATTTCTACACTTTCATTCAAAGAGTTCATGAGATTTTTCCCAGAAATAATGGACCTAAACTATGGAGGATGGCAGACAAGGACAATTAAGTGTTTCCTATGATCGCAAACGGCAAGCCCTGGTCATTGGTCAGTGAGAAACACGTTTTTGATCATAGCCGCGAAGGGAAACACATAATTGTCCCCGTCAAGGGGAAAGATCGCAAAATTCTATAGCTAATTGCTGTAAACTTATATGAAAGCCACACTAATTCTCATTTATTTCATTTGGGATGATCTACTGATTTCATACATCCATAGCTCATTGCCATGATACAAAAAAAACTACTACTTCTCATTACTCTTGACAAAAATCATAGAACAGTTAAAGAGATCATCACCGCATTTTATTTCATGAGGCCTAAATTGTTACTACACAACCAGCCTCTAATCACCGCATACATGAGATATGCGATTCTCAGCAACACTGGAGGTTGCCATTGCTGTTTCGGACGCAACTGTTGAGGTCGCGCGAAGAGAAGATGGGCTGGTTGGAGACGCTGGGGCACGTCGCACTGACGGTGGTGCCCGAGTACTGGATACCGGCGCACGACTGGAAGTAGCCGCTCGAGCAGTCGAGCTGCCCATTGTTGTTGCCCACGCAGGTGTTTAGATCAATCTGCGAGCGCACCGTGGCACCGGCTTGGTTCACGCAGTTTGCAATCAGGGTGCTGCCGCCATAAGTTATGCCGCTGCAGGATCGGGAGAAATCGCACTGGGCCTGCACAACAAACAGACACTCACGTAAGAAAAGATTGGATCAAACTTGAAACATCTGGATCAAGATTGAGATAAACACGTGATCGAGATATCTTTCTATCAATCCAACCGTGAGATATTGCGAAATTGAGATCTAAACGTGAGATATATCTCGCATGGAAAGTGAGATGGAATATATCTAGCATGGAATAAACATTGAGATGTCTATCTAAAATGGAAGATTGTAGATCAAAACGTGAGATATCTATCTATCAGAGCTATTGTGGCGAACAAGGATCGAGAGCACTCACTTCAATCACTCCCAGAGTCACCACCACCAAGATCAAAAGTGTGAGGAGACGAGGAGCCATTTGCGGAGGCGGAGAGCGTAGAGAATATGTGTAATGTGAAGAAGCGAGAGCTTCTACTTTATACGCGGGACCTCCAACTCGGCCACGGCTCTCGTGGGCCCAAATTTCCTTGACGAAGCGATCATCCACTACACAAAATTCATAGTCAAGAAGGGTTCCTCCGACTTGAGTTCGTGTTGTAGTGTTCCTCGACTCAGAGCTCACGGACTTCCCATGGATTGATCCTTCATTTCGCTCTAATCCCAGCTTCTGGAATGTGACAAACTTGTTTTTTCCAGCGAAGAAATGTAGCTCACCACGCACTGCTCCAGCTCCGCATCCGAGATGACCAGCGGCGGCGCTAGCCTCATTACGTCGAAGGTCCGCTCATCAGCCGCGTTCGTCCAGAGTGGCTGTCTCGAAGAAGCTATCGCGACGTTTTGGAGGATGCCCGCGCGAGATCTCGAGTCGTGGAACACGATGATCCGAATTCTCTGTGAAGCAGGAGATCTCGTCCAGGCTGATTGTCACCTGGAACTCCATGCTCGTCGCTTACTCGAGCTCCAACCAGATCGATCTCGCCGAAGCGGTGTTTTGCTCGATGCCAAAGCACGACACCGTCTCGTGGAACACCATGATCGCGGGATACTCGAGCAGCGACCGCATGGATCGAGCTCTGGCTTTGCTCGATCTCATCCACACCAGAGTTCTCGATCGTGGAACACCGTGCTCAATGAATACGTCACAAACGCCCATATCCGAGAGGCTGGAATACGCTTCGAGAGAATGCCGCACAAAGAAGTGGTTTCGTGGACAATAATGGTGGTGGGCTTCTCTCAAAGCGGCCAAGCTGGCCATGCAAAGAGAGTGTTTGATCAAAGCGTGGAGAGGGACGTGGTATCATGGGCAGCTATGGTGAGCGTATATGCCCAGAATGGGTATCTTGAGGAAGCCAGAGAGATGTTTATAAACATGACCAAGTGTAACGTTTCAATGGATTCTCCCTACCATGGAAGCGAGCACGTCGATAAAACCTGTAACTCTTTGCTCACAGCACTCGCCCACAACGGCCATGCAAAGCTCGCCATCACTTTCTTTCACGAGATGAACTTGGAAGGAGCAAAGCCGGACGAAGTCGCACCTATATTTATATTTATAAATATATTATTAATATAAATGAATGGATTTATAAATTTAAGATACTACACATGTTTATAATAGATGATAGAATATACTAAAATATCCAAGCATATCTAGGTATATTCAGGTACATTCACTCCTATATGCTTGGTTAGAAAATTATAAACTACAATACAATTTTATAGATTTAAAAAATGTAATAACAATTCTAAAAACAAAGCTAATCTAATCAAATATTAAGTTCAGAAGAGAAACAATCTCATTACTAAATCCATCACTTTGTTTGTTGTTTTGTACTTTTCCTCTTCTTTCTTGAACATTTCAGAGGGAAAATAAAAGACATGTGTAATAGTTATATAAGAATAATCATAAATTAGAAAAAAATGATTGTAATGAACATTTAATTACAGAGTCTTAGAAACCTTACTTTTATATGGTTAATTTAAATTAATATTAGTAAAGCATTTAAACTAGCTATGAAGACGAATGTATTCATATATAAGTATGAAAATGTTTGGTTATACTCTTGATTATCTAAAAGTAATCAGGTAATTACTACCATAAAATTCTTAAAATTGCAATCTAATAACTACAAGACTTATATTATAATACTTATATAATATTAAGTTATTAATCTTCTTACATTTGTAAAAGATAAATTTAAGTTAATAAAAAATATTTTTAAAATTTTCTATTTAATAATTTTTAAATACTTCTATTATCTTAACATACATAAGGTATTAAAAAATAATTATAAATAATATTTAGAAATAAAAATCTATTCTTAATAGTCACACCAACTTATACTTATGTTATCCTATTTAAATAGTTTGTAAATTTATAAGGTTTTATAAAATATGATACTTAAAATTGCTTTTGTGAGTGCTTGGAATATGGAAAGGGAATACAGAAATGTGCATATCAATTA